GCTGTGTGTAACCCCTGTGCCAGGTGGAGCCGGCCGTAACCAGGGCTGGGTTCAACATCTAGGGGTTACTTTACAACAAGACAACACAGAACTGGCTCTAACCCCCACCCAGTAACCTGGGAAAATTACACACCACCCTTGGGTGCTTCTGAGCGGCAATACTTCCCCACTCGCAAGCACAGAGTCTGACTACAGCATAGAAACTTTTAATGAAAGGAGGGAAGTCACCCGACGTTAATTAGGGAAAATGCTGCAAGCATGATTCATAAACTGTGAGCAGGACATCCTCCCCAGAGTGCATGGGGAAGAGTCTTCTGCCTTATGTTCTTCAGTTATACAACCAAAAGTTCCTTTACTGTGCTCCCCTCTGCTTCCTCACCACACCCCACGCACAATGGTTATCCTTGGTCAGTGAGGACACAGGGTTCAGAAGTGCCTCTTTGTGAGTTCACCTCCCACCCGGGAAAGAAGACACCTGGCTTGCTCCACCATCTGAGCACTTGCTTTGGCTGGCTGCCGTAGCTGACTGCTCGCCACCTTCCCCGGTCACCCATCAGTCACCTCCTGCTGCCATCTGCCTCTCTGCTGTGACCTCTGTAGGTCAGTCTCTTAGTGATTTTTAGCTCTCAGCAGGCTGGGCAGAAACACTGCCCCCCCAGGAGTGATTTCAGCTCTCATTGAGTACTTAACATAATAAAAGCCGCCTAATGAAGCTTATTTAGTTCTATCTGTGAACAGTGGGGAGGAACAGGTTAAACCAGACCAGACACACACACAGGGAGAATTCACACCACCTGGCTGGGACGTCTGTCCCCACCCCCATCTTACTTTCACAGGGGTCTGGCATTCCAGCCCCTAGCTTAACGAGGTCCTATCGGCTGAAGGTGATCCCCTCATTCGGGACAGGTTAAGCACAGTTCTGCTCCCCTTTATTCATACAATACAGACAACAATGTTGATAACAGCATTTCACTACCCCTGCATTCAGCACTAAACTGATTTGTAACCCAATACCTGCCAACCTTGATCACTTTGAGAAACGCTATTCTATCTACTAAATATCTAAGCAGAGTAAGTGTGTTCATGTAAATACAGTTTGCTCCTGAAGTTTCTCCCCCTCCCAGCTAGCTGCCAGGGGAGAGTTCATTCAGCCCCTGCTTACGTATGTAAGCAACTTTGGTCATGGCATGACCACTTCTTCTTCTTCATTGTGTGCTAATGAAGATAAGTGGAGGAGGGGACAAACTAGACAGGTAGTAAAGGGGAGATAAAAAAGTCATCTCAGAAACCTGCTTTTTCAGAAATGGCCATCCTCTTAGGGCAAACTAGAATTCTGTGGTGTAGAAAAATCTACAGTGCTTCCCCAGTCATCTGGAAAACAGGGACGATTTGTCATGAAAACACTGCTGCTTCTTGTCTGTGTCACTCACGTGTGCCCGAAGAGATACAGGGAGGCAAGGGAGTAAACAGAAAATAAATTGTTAAAAGACCGTGAAAATGGCCTCAGTTACTGTTCGGTGGCAGGCACGAACTGCAATCAGCTCTCACCAGCTGGGTCCTCTTGAGGATGGGCATTCATCTCCCACTGTCTTTCTGACAGGCCTTTCTCCCAGTGACTTATAGATGAAATATAAGAGGATGGTTAGGCTGTGAAAGGCCAAAGTTGCACATCACAGCACATATATTCACTAGCCCATAAGTTTCATTTTTTCCCCACTTCCTTGTTATGGGCAGAGAGGCCCTACACTAGCAGAGACGGGGTTAAGGAGAGCCTATGGCCCCAGCTAGCCCCGCCTCCACTATATATGAAGCCAATGCCAGGCGTGGAGGGGGAATAAAAAGAGAAAGCCTGGCTCTGTTGCGGACTGGCGGGCCAGGAAGGAGGATGGAGCTCTGCCTCTGTGCTGCTAGCTGGAGCAGCCAGATGCCAGGAGCGAGCAATGCGTGAGCAAGAGAAGACAGAAGCGCCCCACTGGAAGACTGGGGGCTGGTCCAATATTGAGTTGGATTTGCTTTTATTTTGGAACTTTTGGGGGCTCAACTCTCCTCCCCCACCAGGGAAAGTAAGACTGGAGGGACAATTAGCTGGTGGGCCGGAGCTCTGCTACAGTGGGCCCTGGAGGTGCAGACTTCTTCCCCGGAAGACCTGTAGCCACATTGGGGCAATACAAGGCCTACAAGAGGACTCCGCTCCTGCCACGGCACTACACTCCTCCTTTTCAGCTGCAGTTTGAGCCTGAAGTTTTTCTACCAGGCCAGAAACATTATCCTCTGATGAGGAGGCATAGGTGAGTATAACTGAGCAAATAATGGATA